ATTTTCTGAACTTGCGCATTTAATGGCCAGCATAGCTCTTTACTTCCAGCTACACATGGAGAGACCATTTTTGGCATTCCTATTTCGATTTAACTCACTTGGTTCATTACAACGCCTGCACCAGACAGTACAGCTACTTTGGCCTATCTGCAACATTGCGAATGTATTACTGGTCCTTTACTCATCAACCACTGGCGTTCACCCAATGCATCACTTTACATACGACTGGCATTTCCTGTCAATCTCACTTGGTTTAGGAAGTTGCTACATGCATAACATTCAGATTTCAACCAACCTATTCCGTACACTTGGTTTAAATACTACGGACGGTTCACCATTGGACTTAACCAGCAACTACTAAACACAAGCACCAGACATTTAAACTGAACTTTCGAAATTTGGCTTTTCCGGTCAAACCTAACTTACTTGGTCTTTACTTTTAACATTTAGTCATCGTTATATTATCTTTGATCTTCTTTCCGGTCAGTATTCCTCCATTTACTTAATTCTGCTTCTATTTTCTTGATTCATTGTTTATATTTCTTTAACCAAAACACTACTTTTGTAATGTAAATAAATATTGTATTAATTTAAATTTGTTGTCCTCTTGTTGACCTGTCAGATTCATGTCTTTTATTTTGGGTGCACAGGCTATATCCTACATTAATTCAACCCCCCAAGGGGTCTGCAACAGATTCAATGGGGCTCCTTTGAACTAATTTGAAACAATTTAGTATATTTTGGCTCCTTGAGTTGGAGTGAGTCTTTTAAATTCAATGGGGTCCCTCAAAATAATTACCTTTCATTAAAATGTGATACAATCCCTGAATCTGTTATTTTCTATCTAATCTCCAGGATTCATGAACCTAGCTATTTGAAGTTTTTAACAATTTTAACAATAGATATAATTCAATTTTTTTCATCTATGGTGATCTTCATTTTAGATACATTTCTCTAGGATGGAAAGTTTGGATAAAAAATCTCAAAGTTGCTAATGAAATAAATAAATTGGATGATTTTCAAAATCATTAAAAATCTTAGTTGAATTATATCATGTTTTGCATCAAAAAAGTATTATCTGAATATATATATATATATATATATATATATATATATATATATATATATAAAAACACGAGAGTTGCTGGATACATACATAATAAAAGGGCCCAAAATTCTATTAAATACACCTGAGAATGTAAAAAGCAAAAAAAAAAAAAGGAAAAAAGGACTATTTTTTTTTAAAGGAAATATAATTCACAATAAAAAAAAACTTAAAAAAAAAACTTAAAAAAAAAATAAAAATAGCAAACTATTGTAGATATCAAACATGAAAGAAGACTTTTTTATTTAAGCTTTTTAACAATAATATTCAGATATCGGAGGTTTTGAATGGATTTATTTGATCAACATTTTATCAAAAACGTTAATTATTTTCAAATAATATTTTTGGATTTTACTATCAGGGACACCCGAAAATTATTTCCTTGCTTTTCTGATTTTATATATAAATACAAAATATAGACCACACAAGATTGGCATGAACATAATCTTTTCCCATATTAATATTATGCCAAACTAAACAAGAATTATTAATAATGTACATGTTTACCAATTAGTAAATTAACTTTTCATTTCATTAAATAAAAAGTTAAATTAAGAGTGGACAGATTTCATCTCTGTCAACTCATAACTGAACATGATGAAATAATGTTTAACAAATAAGATGAAATCTAATTTTTTCTTTTTTAAAAAAAAAAAACGTTCACATGGTTAGGCTCAAGAATCCTTCAAAGTAGAGAGTTACTGTTATAGGAATGTAAGAGGAGGAAGTAACAAGTAGATATTATGTGGGTACTGAGGATAGATAACAATTCGCCCAAACACTGTTTCAGTCAATGTAGATGTTTGAATATGCCTATATCATGGCTATCTTATTCATGATGGGGGTAGAATTTTATCTATGTATTGAAACAAATAGCTTGCTCACTCAGTATAAATAAAAATTAGAATTATTTATTTAATTATATTTTCATGTTCTTGACATTGTAAATTTTGAAAATTTGGTCTGATTACCGCAAACAAAAAATAAAAGTAATTCTAAAGTATATTATTCTTTACATTGTACTTTCTCAAAATTGAAAACAGTTGTGCATTAAATTAAACAGATTATAAAAGATCTTAAATCATTAGGTTTTGTTAAGCTGCAGACATAAATTATTTAAATGAAAAGTGTTGAATTTCTATCTCCCTTATAGAGTTGCTGACCCTTTATACATCTGACCAAAGGTAATATTTTATTTAAAAATTTATTTAATCATTTCAAAAAAAAAAAAAAAAAAAAAATTCCTTTACTTCAATAAATATAATCGACTTGAAAGGAAAAGGGTTGAATTTCCTTCTCCCTTATTTGAGCAAAGGTAGTATTATTTTTTTTAATATTTATTTAGTCATTCTAAAACATAAAACTGTCCTTTACTCCTAATTCACTTGAAATGAAAATGATCGGATTTTCTCAAGTCCCTAGATTTTGGGAGTTGCTGCTGCTGTAATTGTTGTAGATATTGATGGTACTACATCTATATGGCTCTCATGCCTTCTGATCATAATTGTATTTTTGCAGATTAAAGTTGGCTGGAAAGCATGATGCCAGAAAGGAGTTCCACAAGTGAGAAGTGCAAGACATAGAACTTATGGTTACATCTAGCCTGTTCAACTGTAAATTGGAGATACCTTGTTGCCAATCTTAAATTTGATGAGTGTAGGTGCCATAGCAAAGAGCGATATTTATTTTACATTAAAATACAAAAATGAAGCACTAAAAGGAAGAAAAGGGGACTTCTGGTTGTCATCCATCTTATAATTCAACTCAGCTAGCCAAAATCATACCACTATATTCCTTACACCCAAAAAATGCATTTTTATGTACAATTTTTACTACATACACCATAATACCTCAGAATCTCCATGAAGTCCTAACTAGTCTCTAATTTTTGTCTGTGTAGGTAGGGGAATAAAAGAACAATTTAAAGTCTAAACCCCACTTGTGTATTTATAATATGTGATAAGTTATTTACAAGAAATTAATAAAATAACATTAGTAATAAAACCTTGAATAATTCTGCATTGTAGCAGAAACGTCAGTTAACTGGATGAAATTAATGCAGAAATTAAATAATGAAAGCACACTTTTCTCCAGCCATTCACTCAAACACACACTCATTTAATACTATGTATCCTGCCAGCATGTTGAAGTTTGAAGGATGAGGCAGCCAAGGCGCCCTGGGAGACATACTGAATTAGAGGCCATCTGAGTGGACTGGGTTAACCAAACTGAAGGTATTTCTAACTTTCATCAAATCCTGCCAGCATGTTGTCTGTGAACAGGACAGATGCACATAGTGTGTAATCTACCCTAATGAGCTTGAATAAATGGATGGTAGAACAGGGAATGGAACATTGCTAAGGATAAAGGGAAGTTGTGGAGAGCCATGATTGATCAATGTCTGAAGGAACATGGCACATGAGAATGAGAAATCAATTTGTGTAATTGGTTGGCTGAACAGGGATTAGGTCAGATAGTAAAATGGCAAAACAAAGGATAGGAAGTTGTGGAGAGGCAGGATCGGCCATGACCTCAAGGGAAATGGCACACAGAAAGGAGAATGAGCTTGTCTAATTGGTTGATTGAACAGGGATTAGGAGAGATAACAAAATAATAAAATTTATTAAGAGCTATAAAGGATAGGAAGTTGTGGAGAGCCATGATCGCCAACGTCCTAAAGGGACACAACACATAGACAAAGACTTGAAAAGCATATAGAATTAGTAGTAGTAATGCAATCATAACCTCCTTTTACATAAATGAAAAGTTTAATCCTAAAATTCGACTTTGAAAACAAAGAAAATGTGTCTCAAAAACCTATATCTAAAACTTAAAGAAAAATGACTTATTTTAATAGCTTCCATTATCTTACCTTGGATTTGCTCGGAATGGACAGTAACCACATTTGAAGGCAGGTGGCTTATGGGAGTAAGTATGCGAATTAAAAGTGGTCCGATTGGTACTCTTATAAGAACAAATTGTACAAGTAAAGGTGTGTCTCATGAGTTTCTCGTCAAATTCTCGGACACACATTTCTTCCATTCTTGTGTTAATACTAATTAAGGAGTCTGGTAGCGCTTTCTCTATACTCTTCCTGCGATTACCATTGTTGGGTCGTTTTGGAATTTGATTTGTATTCTTCTCCGTTTTTCCCAGGAGCCTTGAAAAAATATTTTTGCTTTTTATCTGCTCCTGACCATTGCTGCTTTTTGAACAGTTACTCATTTCGTCTTCACTATTTTCCTCGTAAAGGGTCACAGAAGAATCACGGGCCTTAAATTTGGGGACATTAATTAAGTTCAGTTTGTTTTGGGTTGGGATGTTTGCCTTTTGATCAGCTTTGGTTGAAGATGCTGACGATAATGACGTCTTGGAAAGATTGATAACGCCCGACTTGCTCATCTTGAAAAATTTGGGTGAAATCACCAGGCCCGGTTTTATCGACTTATTTGATTTCACTGATGTAATCACCCCCGGTCGAGATACGTCCGATTCATGAGGAGAATATGTCTCATTTGATTGTTTGCTTGAGAGATTCAAAACCTCTGATGATTTGTTGAGAGATTCTAATTTGTTTGTGTACTGAGTTGAATGACTAGACGAAGAATTTTTTGAGGAATTGCTCTTTGAGTGGGAGCCGTTTGAAAGTGATTTTGATTTTTTTCGGTTTTCTTCAGATGTGCTGCTTTTTTGACTTGGCCTTTTACGTGAAAGCGTGTTTTCCTTGGAAGCATGGACAAAATTCACAGTGGTCTCTTTCCAGGTGCCGTCTGGCTCCTCCACCAACACAGTGTATCCACTTTTGGTTGTTTGATTGCTGAAACAAAGGCGTGGGTGTTCGGTGGCCATGTGTGCTTCAATTCCGCTGTCAAACCAGCTGGCAAATGAACAGTGTTTACATCTTTTGCGTTTCAGCATCATGTGCTGCGACCAGATGTGACACTTTACACAGGTTCGCAACCGGCTTCTGTAAGAACAAAACGGGCACTGCAGAACACCGGGGGACACCTCGATAATCTTTCTGGCCATAGCTTTCATCTCTTCGTCCTTTGAAGAGGGATTGTTCAAGCTTGGCAGTTCTATATCATCGTGATGATTCTCAGTGTGCCTTGCAGACTCGATATTGCTGTTGGCACCACTGTTTTGTGCCTTTCTTCCTGAGTTTGCCATTTTATTGCTATCACTGGTGACGTTGGCGGTAATATCGGCCTGATTGTTCTCAAGATTCAAAACAATATTATTTGTGCTTTTACCTCCAGATTCCTTCAATTCAGACCAATGTTCTGTGTCTATATGCCTCTGCACCTGCCATTCGACAAATCCTTTTGTGCTGCACACAGAGCATTTGTAAACCCCATTACTAAGTTTGACCACAGTCGGTCGATTTGGCTTGGTCAGTGACGCAGGAATGGACAGAGGTTCAGTAGCCAGTCGATAACAGTTTGGTGCTTCGGATGATGGCCCACTGATTATAAATGTTTGTTTTGTAAACGTGCTAGCTGAGGTATCTTTGGGCAACAGATTTAAAATGCTTCGGATATGCTTATTCCAATCCTGGTCTTCAAATTTTGCACCAGGTTTTTTGGCCTCGTGAAAATGCAAACAGTGTTGGATAATGTTTTGTTTTTTGATACTTTTCAGGTCGCAATAGGGACAAGTCCAGAGGTAGAGTTTCAAATGACAATCCAGAATGTGGTGATGAATAGTGGCCACATGATCCGTCGTGAACTGGCAGCACTTACATCGATTCCATTTGCGGTTCCTTGTGTACAGTACGCTAAGTTTTGCATCCAATGTCTGGCTCCCAATTTCACAGGGCGGAAGGAAGTCTGAGCTGTTGTCAATATTTGAGGTGGTATTAGTGGCTTTCTTTTTCTCACTAGAATTTTTGGACTTACTTTTTGGGGCTATTTTAGGGAGCGCATTTTTAGCTGATGGGACTGTCAGGATAGGGGAATGTCGTTGAACCTTGGTTGGTTTGACCATATTCTTGAAGACCTTGCAAACAAAAGGTTTTTCGTAGTCAGAAATAGCATCTTCATTGCCCTGGTTGCCAAAAAGATGTTTCTTCCAGTGTTTGATGACACTGAGATCTTTTTCAGGAGAGTTCATATCACATTGAAAACATGGTGGCAAACAACCATGTTCACAACGTTGCGCTCCACTACTCTCTTGATTATGATTGACAATGATGTCAAGCACTTCAGATTTTTTCTTGGGATGTTCTAGAACTTCTTGAACACGAGTCAGGTGAAATTCCTTGTTGGGATGGCGTTTTTTGCAGGAATTCACCAAATATTCCTTAGAAGTTGATTTTGCATTGCAATGGATGCATTTGTAAAAATCCAAACGTTGGCATTTCGGGTGTTTGACGCGGACGTGTGTTTTCAGTTGTTGAACATGTTTATATGCAACCGGGCATAGGTGACAGCAAGCTTTTGCCACGGCTTTGTTTTCAAACCCTACTGAAGATGATTTGGGTGTGTCCAACTTGAAGTTATATAGCATGTCTTTCTGGCTGGTTGGCAATACAGAGGAATCGGGGATTTGTCGTTTTATTATAAAATCTCCCAAAAAACTTGGATGGTAATTTTGCATATGTTCTTCTAAGAGATGAGGTTGTTTTGTTGAATATTTGCACAGTTTACAAGAATGTAAATAAAGATCTGTGATCTCTTTAAAGTGCTGTAGTTGTTCTTTGGAAAGTGGCAAGAATTTGTTCTTGTTATTAGGGCTAGAACTATTTGCCATCTCGTGGCGTTCCAGGCTAAGTTTCAGAGCCGGAGGAATGTCATTCGGTTTGAGTTTGGTTTCAATGTACTCGATGTCGTCCTTTGGTAGGAACGAGTTCTTTGCTTGATCGCATGGACGAGTCGGGTGTTCGGATATAATAGAGGAAGAATTAGCACTTTCCCCTGGTTTCTCTCGGCAAACAACCTGACTTGTCACAACAATCTGTTTGGGCTTTCCTGGATGTGCCTCAGAGATGTGAGTGAGAACGGCTTGGCGGTTTCGATCCTTGACCGAACAGTGCGGACATTGGATGAATTTCAAGAGATTGTTTTTTAGATGACTGACCAAATCTGAAATGTCGTAGAAGACGACACTGCAATTCAGGCATCTGAAGCTGGTCTCGTGTTGGTGAAGAATCTCGTTGTGCTCTCTAAATTCATGAAGGAGGTTGGTTCCGAAGCGACAACCATGAAAGGCACACTTGTAAAGCAGAAAGACCTTCGATACTGTGTGGCTCTGCATGTGCCGTAACAAACTGTCTTCTCCCGTCGCCGTGTGACCACAGTGAGCACATGGATAGACAGACATGTATTTATGGGCGTTCTCCAAATGGCTTCTAAATTCTATCGAGTTCATACAAGCAAACTGACAACCGTTAAAACCGCATTTGTAAAACGCCCCTCTCTTTTCTTGTTCGAAATTTCTGGAACCACCTTCGGAGTTCATGAGAGATCGGACCGAGGAACCAAAATTTTCAAAGTTTGTCTTCTGTGTTTTGGAAGGTTCAGTGCCTTTGTTGTTACCAAAAGAGAAATGACTGGAAGAATTTGATGACTGTGCCTTCTTCGATTCTTCGTCGGTGCTTAATGAAAACGAAGGACAGACTTTAAGATCCAAAACTTTGTCTTCATCGCTAGGGCCGTGTTCTGTCTTGAAAGGCGTTGCAATCTTATTTGAGCTGCTCATATCACAGAGCATATCAGTGAGTGAGGCAAACTCTTTCACCTCTTTCTTGATATTAAGAATCTTTTGATTTATGTCTGCTAGCAATAAATCTTCACCTGGCTCACGCTTGATTTTGATCCTGCCGAGGTCGGGCTCAAGTTTGAACTTCTTTATTTCGGGCTCAAAACTTTTGGATTCTGATTTTGTCATTGGTGCCCGTATATCTAAACCTTTGGCCTCGGTAGATCTGCTATTTACAAGAGAATTTACATTGTTAAGTTTTTCACAACCTTTATTGACCACAGACCCGACAGTCAAGTAGTCAGTTCCTGCCCTTTGTGGATTTTCTACAATTACCGTTTCCTTCAAAACGGCAGCTATTTTTGGAGTCTCAGAATCCTTGGCACTAATTACCAAACTCTTTGGAAATTCAGTAACAGCCTGTTGGCCAGATAATTTAATTGGAGAAGAGGGTTCGGTCGTGACGTCACGGTTACCATGAATTAAAGTGGAGAGGGACAGAGTTTTAAGCTCGGAGGCTTTTTGAAAAACTGTTTCTAGTTTAAGGTCTGACTTTCGTACACGACATATGACGACTTTTTCATTGGAGAAATTGTCATCGCTGGTGAGGTTGGTAATCAGCGACTGGTTCATATTTGATATGAGTTGAATGATATTGGCGACAACTTCACAGCTTTCTCGAGTTAGGGTCGTACAACAACAGTAAGTGCTCTCTGGAGAATGTGTGTGTGTCCATATATGAAAACGGAAAATTTCCTTGTCCTTGGACCTTTTCGCACATTTCAAACAAAAATATTCTTTATTTACAAACGTGAATTCTAAAAAGCCAGGTACAGTCTGGGAACAGAGCTCTGACTCGGCTGATTCTGGATGTTTCGCACGTTCTTTTAGGTTGGGGGAAGATACCTGACCATCCAGATCTAAAGATAAAGTCCGACCTGCAGAGGATGGCGGTTTGTCATTTGTGGCTAAATGGAGAAATGGTTTTAAGTTATACGTTTGAGAGCCGACTGTTTTTACTTGTTCAATGATTTTACAAACATTCGTAGGTAAAACACGCTCACCTTCGTGCCGTTCTAGCAGATGTTGATGCCATGCACTAATAGAATAGATATTTGCTGAACAGTCATCACATCTAAGTGCCTGGTCCTCTATGTGTTTAAAAAGGTGGTCCTCAAAACTGACCTGTCCTCCTGAGAAAGTGCAGAGTTGGCAATCAAATTGGCCATTAGCATATTTTAACACGATTTTAGAAATGTTGGTCTTACACGAGCTGGTCACACAGCTGGAGTCGACCGGCGGTGTGGACAGAGATTTTGAGGTGGTGGTTGTCACTGGTAGAGAAGACGAAGATGAATACGACGATGAAGAAATGAGATTCGAAGATGACGACAATGAAACGGAGGTTGACAAGTTCGGATGGGTTTCGCTGGCATCTTTGTGACCGACTTCTGAAGAGGTATTGATTTGGGCAGAGTCTTTGACAGACGAAGAAAGGGGATCTTGATCGACTGACATTGATCTACTGTCTTTAGACTCGGGTTCTTCAGAGCTGCAAATGTCATTGTTAGCATCTTTGTCAACGAGCTTGTCCGGTTGGCTTTCAGGGATGGCAACAAAGGGAAAGGAACGAACTGGTTGAATGGAAGAAACAGATTCGACATTCTCATTTTCACACACAGAATTGGAACTGTCTGTACTTAATTTGGACATGTATTTTAGCCTGATGGGACTCTCTCTTCTGTGTATGGTGTCTATTGTGCTTTGACTCACTGTTGAAGTGACTGGTTGTGCTTGGACAAGGTCCGAATTGGCACAAGGCTGACTGACAGACTTTGACCAATTAACAACAGACACCTTACAGAGATCCTCTTTTTTCTCACTTACTACAAAAACTGATTCCGTTTCTTTTGGCTTGTCTTTGACATCTGCATCAGGACAATTAAATGACTTATTCGTCTTAGGTGTCGAACCAGTATGGCTCATTTTCAGGCGGTCAGCAGCTTCAAGCAGAGAAGGGTTAGTAATGTCGTCTCTAGTTTCCAAGCTGTCATCTTTGTTCATTTTTCCATTCTGACACTTTGTAACAAGTTCGTTGTTGGTTTTCTTGATGGAGACACTATCCACAAAGTCAGTCTGATCACTGTCCTGGGATTTATCGCCTTCGTTTTTCTCTTCTGCATCTCCTTCCAATTCAGGGTTTGCAGTTTCGAATTCAGAAAGTTTCATTTTTTTTGCCTGCTCTTCGCCATCATTCTCTTCTGCAGTTGGTTTCTGAGATTCCAAATTGGAACACGTTCCCGGAAAGCCTAGCAGCGTTTTCACAATGTGACTGTTGCTTCTTTTTCGATTAATGTGCAAATGACAATTATCTTTGGGCTGTTTCAAGAGTTCCGAGGCCAACAACGAGGAACCTGTAAAAGAAGCATTCTCGAAGATGTTATCAAAATTCTGATTTCTGCCAGGAGCAGACTTACTGGCTGTGAAAGAACTAGACACTGTTCTGCAATCCTTTTCATCATCGTCATCCACAGTTGAGGAAACTGCACAGATGCTTGTCTCGGGTGATGTGGAACTTTCTACATTTTTGTGGTTACTATCGGGCGTAGCTATCTTACCACAGCTGTTTGCTGTCGTCAATTTCAATGCTGCGTCAGTGTCTGGTGTCACATGCGAGCTCTGTGCGCTGTCACACTCAGCAATCTGAGGAGAAGCAGAACTGCCGACCGGGTCCTGATTGTCCAATCCAATTTCTTGATCTAAAGAACTCTCGCTGATTTCCGACAAAGGTGACCACCCTTTGTCAAGAGTTGTTTGTGTCGTGTTTTGGGGGCTTTCTTCATCGTTGACCTCTTTTTTTCCTTCATCTTCCCTGATCTCAACCTTCGTTGGAGGAAGGTGATCAGTTTGATTGTCGTAATTATCTGTGTCACAGTCAGCCATCCTCATAACAACACGAGACAGTGGGGGAAGCTTCCTTTAGGTGTCACATCCTTAGTGGCTTCCTGGGAATGTCAGGCCAGATGGACAATCATTCAAAAGGTAGATCCATTTTCCCCTTGAACCAATGAACATTCATCCCAAGACAGCTGGAAAGAAACAAAAAAATAGAGATATTAGAATACAAAATAAATTTTCATGGCATCACTAAACTTTCAAATATTTAATTAATATTTCACAATCTATCTTGGTGTGCTCAGATTTATCTATTTCAATCTGTTCATGTTTATCTATCTATCTATCTCAGTTGTGTTCATGTCTATCTGTCTATCTATCTATCTATCTCAGTCTGTTCATGTCTATCTCTCTCTCTCTCAGTCTGTTCATGTCTATCTCTCTCTCTCTCAGTCTGTTCATGTCTATCTCTCTATCTATCTCTCTCAGTCTGTTCATGTCTATCTATCTCTCTCTCTCTCAGTTGTGTTCATGTCTATCTCTCTCTCTCTCTCTCTCTCTCTCAGTCTGTTCATGTCTATCTCTCTCTCTCTCTCTCAGTTGTGTTCATGTCTATCTCTCTCTATCTCAGTTGTGTTCATGTCTATCTCTCTCTCTCTCTCAGTCTGTTCATGTCTATCTATCTATCTATCTCTCTCAGTCTGTTCATGTCTATCTCTCTCTCTCTCAGTTGTGTTCATGTCTATCTCTCTCTCTCTCTCAGTTGTGTTCATGTCTATCTCTCTCTCTCTCTCTCTCAATTGTGTTCATGTCTATCTCTCTCTCTCTCTCTCTCTCTATCTCAGTCTGTTCATGTCTATCTATCTATCTCTCAGTCTGTTCATGTCTATCTATCTATCTATCTCTCTCAGTCTGTTCATGTCTATCTATCTCTCTCAGTCTGTTCATGTCTATCTATCTCTCTCAGTCTGTTCATGTCTATCTATCTCTCTCAGTCTGTTCATGTCTATCTATCTCTCTCAGTCTGTTCATGTCTATCTCTCTCTCTCTCTCTCAGTTGTGTTCATGTCTATCTCTCTCTCTCTCTCTATCTCAGTCTGTTCATGTCTATCTACCTATCTATCTCAGTGTTCATGTCTATCTACCTATCTCTCTCTCTCTCACAGTCTGTTCATGTCTATCTATCTATCTCTCTCTCTCAGTCTGTTCATGTCTATCTATCTATCTCTCTCAGTCTGTTCATGTGTACCTTTCATTCAATTCATGTCTATCTATCTCAGTCAACTGATATATATCTATCTCAGTTCATATCTATCTATATATCAGTCTGTACATATCTGTCTATCTCAGTCTGTTTGAAACAACCTGATAGATATCTATCTATCATGTTGGTGCAAAAGTAATGTCTGATTTCTAAGAAGAAAGTTTTAAATAATATTTAAACTTTCTGCTTCTCATTTTAATTAAGGAATGTTACAATAAGTAATTTATATCTTTTTCTTTCAGGTTATAAGAATATTTTTCAAGATCTTCCGTGATATTCACACCCATGTTCGTCCCATCTAAAGATCACATTCGACATATATGAGTTTCATAAAAGGTGTCAATGCAAGTGCAACAGCAAAACCTATTCAGGGCACTTATGAAGGTGATGCAGTGAATGAAAAAAAAGTTGCAGGAGGAGGTTTTCCTATTTCCGAAGTGAGGATTTCAGTTTGAAAGATGAATTAAAAGAGGGTCATCCAAGAAAAACTTGATTCTGAAGTGTTGGAAGAACAATTTAACTTAGACCATACAACCATGGTACACCAATTAAAAAAGGATCGGAAAGGTTTTAGTGGTTGGGAAATAGATCCCACAGAGAACGATCTCCAGAGAATCTGTAACAGTGTGTTGCTTGTTATAAATCATTGCTTTCATGACACCTCGAGGCACCATTTTTAGGTAGCCTTGTTAAAAGTGATGAGAAGTGTATCCTTTACAATAACGTTAAATGCCGCTGATCATGGAGTCAGTCGAGGAGGAAGATCAATTCAATAACCAAGTGAAGGACTTCCTCCAAAGGTAATCATGTTGAGTGTATGGTGGAAAGAATTGAAAGAATTGCCCATTACAAACTGTTAAATAACAATCAAACAATAACAACTAATCTATACTATGATCAACTTTGTTGTTTAAAGACAGCTTTGAACCAAAAGTGACCTTCCTTAGTGAACAGAAAGGGTTTCATTATCGATCACAATAATGTTTATCCTCACACGTTGACTAAAAATCTTGGTTGGAAAATATTGCTTTATCCACCATATTCTCCTGACTTTGTTTCTTCTGATTATCATTTGTTTTGGGGACTACAGAATCATTTGGCTGGTCTTAGGGAGAAGAGGTTGAAAATGAGCTGGATTCATATTTTGCTTCAAGGAATTTAACATTCATAGCATTTAGAATCTTTTTGACAGGTGGAATTAATGTTCCAGAAAGCATTGGAGATTATGTTAACAAATAAATATTTTCATAATCATGGGCATCTTCAGTTTTAATATAGATCTTGAAATCAAACATTACTTTTGCACCAACCTGATATCTCAGTCTATTCATGTCTAATCTATTTCATTCCAGTCACAACAAGCAATCATGTTTATGATCGTTATTGCAATAGTTTGTTAAAGTTGTTAAGCTCAAATATTTAATGATACACGGGTATTTTATAGTTGTAGAACTCACAAGGAATTTATCAATCATTAAATTAGGAATTATGATTGATCAGAAAATTCAAATCAGAAAACCATGAAGAATTTGCCATAGATACTTATTATCATTAGTCTAAATTGAAGTGACTCAAAATGCAAAGGCTTATGGCCGCATAAGCAATGTTGAACCTTGTCAATACCTAGATGGGTGACCACTTGGGAATACCCGCTGTTGTAAGCTTGGATATGCAGGTGGTGTAATGGATAATGGCTCAGAATTGCTAATTGGAGAGCCGAGTTCTAATTCCAGTTGGGTTTGTTATATTCACTTAGGCGTAAATACCCTTGGCAAAGGTATGAATCCAGTTCTTCTCCTCTCAGCTATGGGTTAATTAGTTTCTATCACTAAACCATCATCATCTCCTCCCCTCCCCCAAATTCTTACAATCTAAAAATATTTTCTGCTTTTAAATAACCTGCAAAGGATTTATAAACCATAGAAAACAAATCAATCAATTAAATGAAATACTGATTAGCTACACAGCCATGTCTTTTCCATTTTTTTACATTCTCTGGAATAGAAATATATAGAAACTACCGTGGCCAAAAAGTAAGGGATCATTTTATATATTGATTGTAATACAGAATTGACCTCCCACTTTATGTCCACATTGTAATTTCTTGTTTGTTTATCAAATTCTGATTCAGCATGAATCCACCTCTTCTTTCCCCATGTATGGGTTAATTAGTAAGACTGGTATCACTAAACCATTATTATTTCAAACAAAAAAAATTTTTTTTAGTCTTAAACTTATAAGCATTTACTAAATTATTAAAATATGTGAACTGACTATAAGGAAATCCTTATTTACCATTTTATAAAGTTCGAATCGATTGGCAAATAGCCAATGTTTTGCCAACCATTCCAATAAGTAATCTAATAAATAAATAGTGTTTATTATTTTTGTTTTCAATTCTCAACAACAAAGAAAATATATAAATTCATTTTCATCATGTTTAAATTTTATTAAAATTCTAATCATCACTTTTTAAAACAATAATCATTGCTGAGGAGTGAAGGTAGTTAAAATAATAACAGTGTCAAGGGAAAAACCATCCTTTTGATAATCCTTTTTTTTTTATAGGCATGAAGGCCCAAGTGTGTGTCAAATATTTTTTAGATTGATTATCTGACTGTAAACAGTTTTTTTGCTTTCATTTGAAATAAATCATTTTTTTAATGTTTGTATTTATTTTCTGGAACATGACTCATAGACATTTTCTGGAACAAGACCAAGACAAATTTTCTGGAATGTGACCCATAGACATTTTCTGGAATGCAAACCAGAAACATTTTCTGGAATGAGACTAAGACATTTTCTGGAATGATACCCATAGATATCAGATCAAGGAGAAATTAAATTTTTTTTTTCGCATTTTCCAAATCACAAAAAAAATTTATCCAAAGTTTAACTTAAAAAAAACAAAAAAACCAAACTTAGTTTATAAATATTAAAAATTTAATTTTTAATTGAAATTATTATTTCATTTATATATCATTTAAATATTTTTATTATTAAAACGCAGATTGTGTGTTAATTTTTTTGTGTTAATTCTAAAAATTTATATATTGGATTGGATTTCAAAATTTTTTATAAAACAGATTTTTTTCTTAACTTCACAGGACTGCGTAAAATTACCTTTATTCAAACAAATCTTTTTTAAAAAAAAAAATTAATTGTTTTTTAAATGAAATTCAATTTTAAAAAAAATGATTCTTTTGCCAATATTAAATTGAAAACTTTTATCATAGTTATAATATAAACACATTAGTTGTTTTTGTGTGTGTTCGTTTATATATTTTTTTTCATTTCTTGTATTTTTTTCAACTTTATTTCAACAAAATTTTTTTTATTTTTTTTTTGGCAACAGTGTTTTTTTGTCTTGCACAATAAAGTTTTTTTTTTTTATTTTTTACATTCAGAATGCTTTAAAAAATCCATTTACAAGACAATTGTTTAAATAAAATTAAATTCAATCAATAGACTCATAAAATTGAAAACAATGTTTTTGTTACAAGTTTTGGTTTGACTAAATAAAAAAAAAAAAAAAAAAAAAAAATAAATTAATGTCTTCACCTTAAACAAACAATAATCTTTGTAATTTTAAATTTTTTTCTTTATGATGGTTCATAAATGATTTTCTCTTTACTGTTACATCCTGACATTTCAAAATAAAAAACAACTAGTTTTTAAAAATAATTTCAGATTATTATATCTATTTATATATTTATATATATGTATTTATTATTTTATTTCAAATTTTTTTTAAATTTTTAAATTTTTTTGTTTTTTTTTTTTAATTTTTACAAAATTTATCTTTTTATTTAAAATTTTTATTTTCATATCTAAATTTATTTTTATCAATTTTGCCATTTTTAATAATTCATTTGTTTTAATCTTTTGATATTTTGGTGTTTTTGAAAATTTAATTATTAATTTAAAAAAAAAAAATTTTTTTTAAATGAAAACAAAAAAAAAAAATCCATTAAAAAATTTGATTTTTTTTAAACATTAAAAAACCTTAATTTTTCAATGTTTGACAATTTTTTTATTTACACAAAATTGCAAATTTTGAAAAAAAAAAATTTTATAATCAAAAATGGTTTGTTTTTTTTCAATTTTTTAAAATATAATTATTTAAAAAAATAAAAATAGTTTCAGATTTTTTAATGAGTTTTATGGTTTTTTTTTAATAAATATTATAAAAAAAAAATAAAAAATTTTTTTTTATTTTTAAAATTTTTTTATATTTGAAAGATTTTTATGAATTTTTTTGATATTTTTTTAAATTAAATTAAAATTTTTATTTGAATAGATTTTGAAAACCTTTGAAAAATTCTTTAAATTTCAAATGAAACCCTAAAATCTTTTTTGATGTTAAAATTTTTTAGTTTTATGAAATTTAAGTTAGAATTAATTGTATTTTTTTAAAAAACACTATGTTTTTTTTTTCAAATTGAACAAAAAAAAAAATAAAATTTTTAATTTAAAAATATATCATTTATATATTTTGGTCAAATTTTTTATTTTAAAATTGATCTTAAATTTTAAAAAAATTTATAATTACAAAATTTTGAGAAAAAAAAATTTTCTGGCATTTTTCCTATGTTCAAATTTCCAGAAGTTTTTTTTCTTTTTTATTTTTTTTTTTTTTTAAATAAAAAAATAAAATTTTTCAAAAAAAAAAAAAAAATTAATTTAATGAAATAATTTTTTTGATTTTCAAAATGAAAAAATTTTTTTTTTCAGGAGAATTAAAATTTTGTTTTAATATCAAATTGTATTTTTTTTTTTTATTTTAATTCTTTTTTCCATAAAATTTTAATTTGGATTTCTGTTTTTTATCTTTTCAATTCTTTTTTTTTTGATTTTATTTTATTGTAATAATTTTTAAAATTTGAATTATCAAATTTTAAAAAAAAAAAATGTTTTTTTTTTAAAAAAAAAAAAATTTTCAATCATTTTGAAAATTTTAATTAAATTTTTTTTTTTTTTTTTTTTTTATTTTATTTAAAAATATTTTATTTAAAATTGATAATTAATTTTTGAATTTTTTTTTTTTAAATTTTTGATTATTGTTTTCAAAAGATTGGGGAATTCTTAATTATTT